AGAATCTCTATGCATTGTAGGAAATTCTGAATATGACTGGATAATATTTTAATGAAATGTGTTTTTTTCAAAATTCTATTTTCCAAAAAATAGTTAGGACTATTTTCCAATTAATTCAGAATATTATTATTATTTTGCTGACCTGCATGCATGGCCCTATTTGAGGAATACACAGAATAAAAGAATTAAGTGCACAGAGCAGAAGCCTCACTGGGATAACATGGCATATCTTAGCTGAGATTAGTTCACCTGGGCAGTGCTACAAATTATTCATATACAAATAGAATTCAGGATTAATTGGAAAATCTATTTAGAACAGCTGCATTCGCAAACGATCTTCACTAAGTCATGTGACATCAATCTTCACTAAGTCATGTGACATCAAAGTAATCTATTTCATGACTCTAAACCATATTACTGTATTTTTTGGCGTATAAGACACTCCGAAGTATAAGATACACCTAGTTTTTGGGGAGGAAAACAAGGGGGAGGGAAATCTGCCTCTGCCTCCCAGCAATTTGCCTCCTTGCAGCAAACAGCAAACAGTACAGATGATATACACTGTTTGTGGTGTTACATTTCAGACTATACTTGTATAGGTGCTCTTAAAATAGATGTGGCTTTCTGGAAGTATAGTTATTCTCTGCTATTTAAAAGAAGATACAATAGCACTGGGCCTCTTCAGATCAAACATTTATTTATTCTTCATTTTGGTGTCTAGAACAATAATAAAGCAGTCTTTAAAAAATAAGTCTAATATGCGAGAAAAATATCCCAGATATATTTTCTGCATATCAAAAAAAAATGCCCAAGGACACTATGATCAACAAAAAGCATCTATTTTATTTCACTTGTGCAAGTGGATTCCCAAACAAAAGCGAATAACTACAAGGTACATGGGTGTGCCTTAAATTCACAAAATGACGTATCAAATGCGTCATAACTTGGATACAAAAATATAGTTGCGTGTACAAAGTACAATGTAAAAATACAGTCACGTGTATCGTAACACTGGTTGGTGGCATACAAAAAATGGAATGTCCCCAAATGTTTCCAGAAACCCAGATAATTTCCAGTCAACATCATTTGATCTTTCAGAAAGCTCCAAAAGCCCCCGCTTTCCCAGAACTGAACAATAATATCATTACCGGCTTCCTGCAAAACATGTCCTGTTACTCCCTGTTACAAAGGGAGGGATTAGGCTATTTCTGATCAGATCATTGTAACTTTCTAATTGTGCTCCAAGCTGTAATTTTCCAGAGTAGCTTGCTTGCTAGTCAGATATTCAAGATGGAGTCTATCAGGTTCCTCAAATAACCTCAACCAATTTCAGATTTCATCTCTCTTCTCACAAATAATTTGAACATTCAATAGGCATTTATAGTTATTGACTTACCTCCTTGCAGCAAACAACAAATGTCTCCATATAGGATTTGAAATAATCTTTATTTTGACCCCATTTGTGTATCCAATTGTTTCTATACTGCAGAGAATATACACAAAAAAGTTGGCTGTTGTCTTGAAATCAAATAAGAAATAGAATTAAAAAGGACAATCTCCAGAGTATATTTCCATCTGGGTGACCTTCAGACAAACAATAACTACCATTATATCTTGATAACACGAATGAGCATATTTTCAATCCAGCAGATACCCTTCAGGTGCATTAGGACATCTTGAGGACCATGAGCATGCACTGAGGTGTGCATGCACCAGTATTCACAGAGCATCCCATAATGGTGGAGAGGACTGGTCTGGTCTCAATCTGGTTTCAAAAAAAGAAGGGGAAAAGTTCATGGGCTGCCATAAAGAGAGAAGTGGCAACTCTTCTTCCCAGCAACCGAGTTCTTTGAAATAGTTTTGCAAGGAGGGAAGAGAAAATGACACCTTTCCCTCATACTCACAATGATTTTATTTCAGATCCCTTTTCCAAATGTCATTTCACAGGAGGGATCCAATGACCAGTTCTCGGTCAATCAGTTCATCACACTGATAGCTGGCCAGCAGGAAGAGTGGGAAGTGCACATTCCTACTGACCACCTGTCCAGAGTAATGAGCTGCTTGTAAGGCAACTGGTTGCTGGTTCTCATTGGTAACAGCAGAGTAAAACTACACTTAATTCCTGACCATATCAATAAGAACCATGGGCAGGGCTCATTGGTATACTTAGCTTTACTCTGTCTTTTTTCCTGCAGTCAGACATTGCATATATGCATTTACATGTAACATAGACATAACTTCAAGCAATTTGATTCTCACTGGCTCAAGGTTGACTCAGCCTTCCATCCTTCCTGGGTGGGTAAAATGAGGACCCAGATTGTTGGGGGCAAGATGAGGTATATAAGGGCTATTGCTATTGCTATGTAGGCTATAGGTTTTCTGTCTAATCACAAGGCCTGAGAATGCTGATAATTGTACTCTCGTGTGTATAGAAGGTTCCGGACTGGAAAAATCTAGTCTAGACTGTACAAAATAACATTCTATATTTGCTTTCATTGAAGGACATTTCACTTCCATAACAAGGAAGCTAATTATTGCAAATGCTTAATTTTTAATTGTTCTTTTAAAATTTTAAATACTTCTGCCATTTTTATCAAATAAAGAACTGCTTTCTTTTCTTGATACAGTAGCATAGAATGAGTAAAATTGTGATGCTTCTGAGGATACCATCAACCGAAGGTACTGAAGGGAGACTCAGATGAAAAACTACTGGCATTTCTGCCCAGCATCGCAAAAGCTTCTTGGGCTATTTTTATTTTCTTGAGCCTAATTTTTTTTTCCTTTTTCTGGGCTGGGTTTTTTATTTCACCTCCAAATCTCAACTCATCACCTCTTCCTCTCCCTCTGTGAAGATGGCTGGAGGAAACCACACACAGGTGATAGAGTTCATTTTCTTGGGGTTCACAGATAATCCGTACCTAGAAATTGTGCTCTTTGTGGTGTTCCTGACCATTTACTTGACAAACGTGATAGGAAACGTGGGCATGATTCTCCTGATTCTGCTTGATGAACACCTCCACAGCCCCATGTATTTTTTCCTTTGCCACCTTTCTTTGGTGGACCTTGGATATTCAACAGCCATTGCCCCACGTATGCTGGCTGACTTCTTGAGATGGCGTAAAGTCATCTCCTTCTCCAGCTGTGCCACACAGTTTGCCTTTTTTGTGGGCTTTGTGGATGCTGAGTGTTATGTCTTGGCAGCCATGGCTTATGACCGCTATGTGGCCATTTGTCGTCCTCTCCATTACAGCACAATCATGTCAAAACAAGTCTGTTTGGTGTTAGTTGTTGGTTCCTACGTAATAGGCCTTATAAGCTTGGCATCCCACACTAGTCTGACTTTCAGCTTAGATTACTGTGGTTCTAATGTCATCAATCATTTCTTCTGTGAGATTCCTCCACTCCTGGCATTGTCTTGCTCTGACACTTATGTCAGTGAGATCCTCCTCTTCAGCCTTTGTGGATTCATCGAATTCAGCACCCTCCTCATCATCCTAATTTCTTACATCTTCATCTTTGCTGCCATCTTGAGAATCCGCTCTGCTGAAGGCAGGCTCAAAGCCTTCTCTACCTGTGCTTCTCACCTCACTGGGGTCACACTCTTTTATGGGACAGTGATGTTTATGTATTTGCGGCCGCCATCCAGCTACTCATTAGATCAGGACAAGTGGGCCTCTGTGTTCTACACTGTTATCATCCCTATGCTGAACCCCTTGATTTATAGCCTAAGAAACAGAGATGTGAAGGAAGCATTTAGAAGAGTAATCAGCAAGAAAGTTTTATCCCATAAATAACCATCTCTCAGTTATAAGATGCTAAATTTAAAATGTTACAGTGCTTGTATGTAAAGTTCTACGTATGTAGGAATCTACAGTTTTATAGTTGAAAAGCAAATGATAGGGTTTTTTTTCCCCACCATGATAATCAAGCATTTGATGTAAGAAAACTTGGCTTCATAATGTGGTTTCTAAAAGTAACTTTAGACCGAAAACAATAAATCTATCTCCTGTTATTTTTGCTGTTAAATATATGTATATTTTACTCCAGTCAAAACAACAACCTCCAAATAAAAATAGCAACTTTTCCAAATGCTTTATCTTTGAAAAAGAATAAATTTATTCCTCTTTCAGTTTAATTTTGAACAATTGTTGAACAATTGTTTCAATGCGATTAGATAATAATGATTTACATCAGGGCTGCCAAACTCTCAGCCCTCAAGCCAGAGGTGTCAGGTGTCATGTGGTGGTGGCACCCGCTGCTGCTCCTTCTGCTGTTTCCGGTAATGCAGGCTTTTTGGAGAGCATTAAGTTGCAGGTGCAGTGGCAGCTATGTTTTCCCTTGAAATTTGGTGTCCCAGCAACCCCTTAGCTGGGAGGTGCCAAACTGTGCCCAGCCATCCTTACTCCCTCCCGGCTAAGGAGGGGAGCACCTGAGACACCACTGGGAGAATGTCCCCTTTGGGTTGCTGGAACAGCAAATTTCAAGGGAAAATGCAGCTGCTGGAATCGGTACGCCACTGCTCCTGCAGCATAATTGCAGTGTTGTTGCCTCACTGGAGGGCCACTCATGTATCTTCGCCTAATCAAAAGGAAAACACCAGACAGAATTCCTCGGGATGAGCTAGCTTCGAATGAAACATCAAAGGTCTCTTTTATTAGAAAAGTTAGTTACAGCGTCATCAAAAGAAGGCATATATAATCACACATGGTACAAGTAAACTAATGAAAAGTTCACAGCATTCTACAAATAAACCAATAG